TGTAGAATGCGAACCAAATAAGAATATTTTTATCTTATGTTAATTAAAAAAACACAAAACATCAACTCCCCCCCCCCCCCCCCCCCAAAAAAAAAAAAAAAAAAAAAAAAGGTAAGGAGCATTTCACTTCAGGACAAATTGAGGTCACTGACTGGTAAGTTGCTGACAAGTCTTTGACTGACAGGTGGCGTCCAGGATCCGTCTCGTGCAATTTTTATTTTTTTTTTCTGGCCCATTTAAGAGTGTCATCATTTATTCCATGTTTATTAAATATTTTTGATGAATCTAAGGTTTGAGAACTGAGTTTCATTACAAAATCCTAATGATGGTTTCTTTATTTTTCAAGGATGCTGAGTTAAAATTTAGGGGTGTTTGAGCACCCCCAAAAAGAGGCTAAAATCACCACTAACACAGCAAATGTGGTTGATATAACAATACATGGAGTATCTTATATTTGAAATGTTCACAATAAAATAAAAGTCAAAGTAAAACAAACACTACGTTTTGATTACACCTCATTTAAAATGATTCATAGTTGGATTATCAGGTTTGTACACAGCGACACAAACTTGAATCTGAATGTTGTTTTCTAAAGCCAGAGCAGCTTGGCTCAGTGGGGAGGGAGGAGGAGTGATGATGTGACATGTGGGTGTGACTGGGAGGTCCAGGTTCGGTATATACTGACCACGGAGGCAGGGGGAACAAGTAGCACCGCTCCTGTGTGTCTTTTGTCCAGTCCTTCCTGGCAGCAAGAAACGATGAGAAAGGAAGGCTCCGAGTAGAGGTGCAGCAGGGACGCTCAAAACACATAAAACTAGGTAACTGTGAACACACACACATACATGCATTTATTTACATTGAAGAGCACATCACAGCACACACATCTGCCTGCCTCAACTTTCTTTCTTCTTCCTGTTGTGACGCTATTTGTGGGAAACTGTGATTTCAGCATTTTTCTTCCTAATGTAATTTCTTCTGCTGTCATTTATTCTGATGGTCCACTCTCCTTCAGGACCAGCTGTGATGATGGGGAACGCTGCGCTGCTGCTGTTTTGTTGCCTGGTCATGCCTCTGTCAGGCTCACCTCTCTACCCATCCATTAAGTAAGTCCTGAAAAAAACATCTCAGCACTTTTTATGCATGTTTTTGTTTTAAATTTTTTAAAGAGTTTTAGAAATGATCTTGTGAAAGTTTTCAAATATTTTCTGAGTAGCTGACTGCTTTTCTTGTACATTAACAGGAACAGCATGAATACAACACAAAAAGTGATTTATTAAAACTTAGATAAAAATGTAGACATCAGAAATTTAAAATATATGTTCTGAAAATGGAGGGGGCGTACCAAAGAGACCATCTTATCACAAGCAGAACTGGTTTGTTCCACTTTGGAGTAAGCTGTTGGGGGAAGAATCAGTTTTGTTGTGTGTTTCCGTGACTGATGAAGCCTTCCGGACCGAAGGCGAAACGTTTCAGCACAAAAAAAGAAAAGAAACTGTCCAGATGACCTGACTGAAAAATGTTGGATTGTATACCTGGATTATTGAGCATGGACTTTGTTATTCTGAAAATGATTGTACTGCTGAATTTTTTTTTTAGAAAAACTGACAGAAAGACTTTGGTCAAAGATGATGCAGATGTAGTTTTCATCACTGACTGAGCCTGTCATGTCCTCTGCACTTGTTATGCAAAGACAGGTCAAGATGTGAGGACTCGTCACCATGTTTCATTATTTCATTGACATGGCATCTTAATCACACTGCCCTGCTCTTGAGCTGCAGAGAACAGTCCTTTGACAAGGACAAGAACGAGAGCAGCCTTTAACATCTCACATTCATAATAATGACAGAGGAGCTGAACTTCACCCAAACTAAATGTGTTCATGGAGAAAAGTGAATATTTGAATGTACTTTTGTGGTACAGTGATGAGTGCGGAGGTGTCTGAATACTCTGAGATATTTCACAGGTTTGGACAGAAGGACATGTCCATCCTCATGACGTCTTCTATAAAGAATCCAGAAGAGCAGATGGACAAGGACACACGTCCTCTGAGGGACAGAGAAGAGCTGCGGTGCGTATGCTTATGTTGACAGAAGTTCTATCCATCCATCCATCCATCCATCTATCCATCCATCCATTATCTTTACTCACGTCTTCCTTTTTGGGTTGTGGGGGTCACTGGTGTCTATATCCAGCAGTCACTGTGCGAGAGGTAGGGTACACCCTAGACAGGTCTCCAGTCCATCACAGGGAGACATAACAACCATTCACTCTCTCACTCACACTTAGAGACAATTTAGAGTTACCAATCAGAATAACATGCATGTTTTTGGTGTGTGGGAGGAACCTGGAGTACCTGGAGTAAACCCACGCAGCACAGAGAGAACATGCAAACTCCACAAAAAAAACGCCCCAGCTGGGATTTGAACCAGCGAGCTTCTCGCTAAGACGCAACAGCTCTACCAGCTGAGCCACCATGCTGCCTTTGACAGAAGTTACTTTAACTAAATTAT